GGAGTCAACTAGAAATATGCATCTCTCATCACTACTTATGTATCATAAGATGTATCTGAAAAAAAATTTGAAATTTTTTTCAAGATAACCTTTGGAGAAAAACTTAATGCTACAAAGTTCAAAATTAATCTGACAAGTTAATTTCATTTTAAGGAGAATTTAATTTCCTTCACAATGGTACAATATTTTTGAAAATCTGATGGTAAATAAAAAAATGGCAACCATTTTAGTAAAAGAGTAACAAAGTCGTCAACCGTACTGTGATTGTTGCGACGGAGGAAACCGTTAGGTTGTCGACATATTTTGCTTACCTTGACTTATTTAACTTAATATTAGGCCTAATGTACAAAGCTGTAGTTTTTAAGGCTTAATGGTGTTAACATGTATTCCATTGAAAAAGCTCAATATACAAAAATAAACAATTTTTTGTTGAGTTTCTGGGTGCTATCATCAAATTCGGGCGGCGACTTCAATGGATTGGATTTATGTTATTTATACTAGGTAAATCTGTTGTATACATGTATCCGGCGCCATCAACTATGTCAATCTGACCTACATTTGGAAAATTAGTCGGTCCTTGTTTTGCCGAAAAACGTTTGATAATTACCTTGCGAGTAATCTGACTCCATTCGAGATCGTCCCTATTTAATATGTCCTCAAAGTCATCATTTTCGCTGCTAGACTCTCCAGACGAATCGTATTCCAGTCCTTGTTCAATTTCAATGTCACTTTCATCGTCAAAATTATCATCCAATTCACGGTCATTTATTACCTCTTTTTGCTTCAATTCGGCACATTCAACGTCATAAGAATCGAATCCATTAAAATCGCCGTCTGAATCCGATGACGCCATTCAAAAATTCAACGAAAAACCTTCATTTTTACACAAAACTCTTCAATATAAAAAATTTCACGGAGGCCGCCATTTTGAATACTGCTATGTTTACAGTACACTCCAGTTGTCGTTAGTCACGTGAGAGTTTTGTTCCGAGTGGAAAATTACCGAGTTTTACCGACCGTCATTTCGGGCGACATCGGGCGATCCCGTACAGGACGTTACGGGCGGTTTCGGGCGCTTACGTAACGAGAGGGTTAAACGCTTGTTGGGATAAAATCTCTTGAGGTTTTACAAGTTAGTAAAAGCTCTCTTATGAGCAGTGACAACTGTTTTTGAACTGACAACATCCAAATAAACTATGTCATTTCAGGACTGACATGTAATATGTTGTCTGAACTCCATTAAATTATGACCTCTATAGGGTCCACACGCCAAAAAACGCGTTTTTGTGTACAATCAGGGGCCATAATTCATGAAGTTACGGTCCTATATGCGCGAATATCGAAAGGAACCAAGATTTTTGTGTTACAAACTTACAACTCAAGATTCAAGAAAATCGGATAAAAATTGTGACTTCTATAGGGTCTACAACCTTGATAAACCATATTTTTACGCTATTTGAGAACGAACGGCAGCCATTTTGTCTGTCAGTTTTGGGCCGATTTTCACGAAATTCGAACTCAACTGTCCTCAGGATTTATTGGTGATATAATAATACGTTTTTTTTAAATCGGATAAAAATTATGACCTCTATAGGGTCCACAAGCCAAAAAACACGTTTTTACGTACAATCAGGGGCCATAATTCAGGAAGTTACGGTCCGATATGCGCGAATATCAAAAGGAACTTTGGGTTATAAACTTACATTTCAAGTTTCATTGAAATCGGATAAAAATTGTGACCTGTAGACTGTTCACAAACAATTGTGGACGGACGGACGGAGGCGAAGACAATATACGTCCACATGAAAATGTGGGCGTATAAAAATTGTGAGATCTATAGGGTCCAAAACCTTGATACACTCTTTCTTTACGCTATTTGAGAACGAACGGCAGCCATTTTGTCTGTCAATTTTGGGTTGATTTTCACGAAATTCGAACTCAGCCGTCCTTAGGGTGTAACGGTGATATAATAATATGGTTTTTAAAATCGGATAAAAATTATGACCTCTATTGGGTCCACAAGCTAAAAACGCGATTTTTCGTACAATCAGGGGCCATAATTCAGGAAGTTAAGGTCCGATATGCGCAAATATCGAAAGGAACCAAAATCTTTGGGTTATAAACTTACATTTCAAGTTTCAACAAAATCGGATTACAATTGTGACCCTCATAGGGTCCACAACCTTGATATACCGTATTTTTACGTTATTTGAGAACGAAGGGCGGCCGTTTTGTCCGTCAGTTTTGGGCCGAAATTCACGAAATTCGAACTCAGCCATCCTTAGGATGCAACGGTGATAAAATGATACGTTTTTTTAAATCGGATAAAAATTATGACCTCTATAGGGTCCACAAGCTGAAAACGCGATTTTTCGTACAATCAGAGGCCATAATTCAGGAAGTTACGGGCCGATATGCGCGAATATCGAAAGGATCCAAGATCTTTGGGTTATAAACTTATATTTCAAGTTTCAACAAAATCGAAAGGAACCGAGATCTTTGGGTTATAAACTTATATTTCAAGTTTCAACAAAATCGGATAAAAATTATGACCTCTATAGAGTCCACAAGCTAAAAACGTGATTTTTCGTACAAACAGGGGCCATAATCCATGAATTTTCGATCAGATACATGCCAATATCGATAGCAGCAGAGATCTTTTGGAGATAAACCAATATTTCAAGTTTCGTCAAAATCAGATAAGAATTGTGACCTGTAGAGTGTCCACAAACAATTGTGGACGGACGGACAGGGGCGACAACAATATACGTCCACATGAAAATGTGGGCGTATAAAAATTGTGACCTCTATAGGGTCCACAACCTTGATATACTATATTTTAACGCTATTTGAGAACAAAGGGCTGACATTTTGTCTGTCAGTTTTGGCCAATTTTCACGAAATTCGAACTTAGCCATCGTTAGGGTGTAACGGTGATATAATAATACGTTTTTTTTTTAATCGGATAAAAATTATGACCTCTATAGGGTCCACAAGCTAAAATTGCGTTTTTTCGTACAATCAGGGGCCATAATTCAGGAAGTTATGGTGCGATATGAGTGAATATCGAAAGGAACCGAGATCTTTGGGTTATAAACTTATATTTCAAGCTTCAACAAAATTGGATAAAAATTGTGACCTCTATAGGGTCCACAATCTTGATATACCATTTTTTTTACGCTATGAGAACAAACGGCGGCCATTTTGTCTGTCAGTTTTGGGCCGAAATTCACGAAATTCGAACTCAGTCGTCCTTAGGGTGTAACGGTGATAAAATGATACATTTTTTTTTAAATCGGATAAAAATTATGACCTCTATAGGGTCCACAAGCTGAAAACGCGATTTTTCGTACAATCAGAGGCCATAATTCAGGAAGTTACGGGCCGATATGCGCGAATATCGAAAGGATCCAAGATCTTTGGGTTATAAACTTATATTTCAAGTTTCAACAAAATCGAAAGGAACCGAGATCTTTGGGTTATAAACTTATATTTCAAGTTTCAACAAAATCGGATAAAAATTATGACCTCTATAGAGTTCACAAGCTAAAAACGTGATTTTTCGTACAAACAGGGGCCATAATCCATGAATTTTCGATCGGATATATGCCAATATCGATAGCAGCAGAGATCTTTTGGAGATAAACCAATATTTCAAGTTTCGTCAAAATCGGATAAGAATTGTGACCTGTAGAGTGTCCACAATCAATTGTGGACGGACGGACTGGGGCGACGACAATATACGTCCACATGAAAATGTGGGCGTATAAAAATTGTGACCTCTATAGGGTCCACAACCTTGATACACCATATTTTAACGCTATTTGAGAACAAAGGGCGGACATTTTGTCTGTCAGTTTTGGCCAATTTTCACGAAATTCGAACTTAGCCATCCTTAGGGTGTAACGGTGATATAATACGGTTTTTTTTAAATCGGATAAAAACTATGACCTCTATACGGTTCACAACCTAAAAAGACGATTTTTCGTACAATCAAGGGCCATAATTCAGGAAGTTACGGTCCGATATGCGCGAATATCGAAAGGAACCGAGATCTTTGGGTTATAAACTTACATTTCAAGTTTCAACAAAAATGGATAAAAATTGTGACCTCTATCGGGTCCACAACCTTGATATACCATATTTTTACGCTATTTGAGAATGAACATCAGCCATTTTGTCTGTCAGTTTACGGACGATTTTCACAAAATTCGAACTCAGTCGTCCTTAGGGTGAAACGGTGATATATTAATACGGTTTTTTAAATCGGATAAAAATTATGACCTCTATAGGGTCCACAAGCTAAAAACGCAATTTTTCGTACAATCAGGGGCCGTAATTTAGGAAGTTAAAATCCGATATGCGCGAATATCAAAAGGAACTGAGATCTTTGGGTTATAAACTTACATTCTAGTTTCAACAAAATCGGATAAAAATTGTGACCTCTATAGGGTCCACAACCTTGATATACCATATTTTTACGCTATTTGAGAACGAACGGCGGCCATTTTGTCTGTCAGTTTTGGGCCGATTTTATTGAAATTTGAACTCAGTCGTCATTAGGGTGTAACGGTGATATAATAATACGTTTTTTTAAATCGGATAAAAGTTATGACCTCTATAGGGTCCACAATCTAAAAACGCGATTTTTCGTACAATCAGGGGCCATAATTCAGGAAGTTACGTTCCAATATGCATGAATATCGAAAGGAACCGAGACCTTTGAGTTATAAGCATACATTTCAAGTTTAAACCAAATCAGATAAAAATTTTGACCTCTACAGTGTTCACAAGCTTAAAACGTGATTTTTCGTACAATCTGGGGCCATAATCCACTAAGTTACAGTCTGATACATGCCAATCTCGAAAGGAACGGAGATCTTAGGATGATAAACCTTTATTTCAAGTTTCGTTGAAATCGGATACAAATTGTGACCTCCGGACGGACAGGGGCGACGACAATATACGTCCACATAAAAATGTGGGTGTGTAAAAATTACCATTCTTAGTAGTTCTTCTGCATTTGAAAGTAAAGCGCCTGCAAAAATAAGAACAAAATTGGTGCCATCTCCACATTCAAGTTCCTGTTGTTGTGATGCCATTACAATCATTTTAGCAGCAGGATGTTGAACCTCCAATTCACGTAAAATAGTAGCAGCATCATTAGTGACAAAGAGTTTCTCTAAATGATTGATAACCATCTTATTTTGACCTGAAATATCAATTGTTTCCTTAAATTGAATACAGATGCTACTCCAGCATTCTTGAGGTATGTGTACAGGCACTTTTAGTTACAAGCGAACAGTGATGTCCCCTAGCTCAATCCCAAAATAAACAGATCACACATTTATCATTTTGAAAAAGCATCCAGCAATCAAACTTGGCCTAAGCAGAAAATGCTCATATGTGACCCTCCACCACAAAACTATGGCAGTATATTAGCAAGTCTGGAAATAAGGCATCTGTCACAGACAATGTCAGGCACCGATTCAGGCTTTGTCAGGCACTAAACCTCTGTTGCCTGTCATTTTATTCGGCACTGATTTGTCTTTTTCATTGATATTATTAATACATGTTTGGTACTATTTCATTAGTGCCAGACATTTTGTCAGGTGTATCTAAAACCGTTATTTCAAGACCTGTATATTAGATTCAAAATTCTAACATGCTATTGTCTAATTTCTAACTTCTATTCATGTAATTTCTAACTTCTATGCATGTAATTTCTAAATTAAGTTAATCTATAATCCAACTTCTTTATTTGTTCAGTGTAAATTTCAATTCTGTTTTATCTTATTTCTATTATTAAGACAAAAAATGTCATTGTCGCTTTACATTAGCATTGCACCTCCCAGCGCTGTGACATTTGGACAAATAGAATTGCCCTCAGGAAAATGTAGGTCGCCCAGGAAAAAATACAAATTCATCATTAAAACTACACCAAATTGTAAAAATAATGTCATTAAAAAAATTTGCAGATGATGATCTATCCCTCACTTTGTTGTTTAATTCACATCAAGCCAGTCAGTGTTTGCCAGGACGGAATGCGATAAAATACATCTACTGCTGTGCGCCGTTGCTCTGACGCCATGATCAATTTCTTTGCACACGGCAGACACGGGCTGAATTTTCAAAATAAAATTCCTGCTTTAGTATTTGATATGCACTCATGAAATTTTTCAACCAATCAGAGAAAGGCCTGCCATTCACTCCGCAAAGCTCCCTAGTAACGCATGAGGTCTGGTTTCTTTGATGCAAGCAGCTCAAGTTTGGACCCGATTTTAGCCAAAATTTGACCAATTTCCGTCAAATAACTGGCGAGTATGAATATTTAGACCCTTTAGACCATAACCATATAGTTTGTGTGGAGGAAACAGCTGAGTTAACTCCGTAGGAGGCGTCTGAAGTGGGCAATTCGCCGTATTTTGCTTCCAGGAAATGATCCAGCAGCATACAGGCTATACCATATTTTCCATTGTGGAGGGGTGTACTCTGCTCGCGATCGATAATTAGGTCACGTGACGTGTTTCTGCAATGCTGGTTGGCCTGTGCTCTTATGTTTACTGTTGAGGACAATCTGTTTGGCTCGTTTTGAGGGGAGGTGGGTGTCAGCATGTTTATTTTGGATGGAGATTTTGTAGTTTTCTTTGGGGGTGGGTGGGAGCTAATTGTGGTGATTTAAAGCAGGAATTTGACAGAGGATAATCTAAATTTCATAATATTGTGGAGGGGTGTACTCTGCTCGTGATCGATAATTAGGTCACATGACGTGTTTCTGCAATGCAGATTGGCCTGTGCTCTTATGTTTACTGTTGAGGACAATGGGTTTGGCCCGTTTTGAGGGGAGGGGGGTGTCAGCATGTTTATTTTGGATGGAGATTTTGTAGTTTTCTTTGGGGGTGGGTGCGAGCTAATTGTGGTGATTTAAAGCAGGAATTTGACAGAGGATAATCTAAATTTCATAATATTGTATTGGGGGATAAATTCCATGGCGTTTTTAAAAGTATTTTAGGGGCCTGGTCCTGATAATTTTTTCCCTTTTCTTTTTTACTCTTAAAGTTATAATTTCATATTTTCTAAGAAAGTCAAAACATAATTATTTCTATGTCTTTTGCTCAATAGGTTGTCAACTCACTATTATACGATCATAGGTGTCATTCTCACACTTAAAACTCATTTACACTGGAAATAATAACACAATTACCTCCCAATTGCCTCCCTTGTTTTCTATTCTCCACCATGGAGTAGCTTTTTTCAAACTTTTGAATTGGAAGAGGAAAATGATATTTTTGCCAATTTCTCAACTGGCAATAGTGAATTATAGGATTAATAGGATTATTCTTTAACAAGGTAGGACTGTTTATAGATACTATCTATTTTAAGGCTTTATTTTCATAAATTTTAAAAATATAACGTAAAAATATGAAATTGCAACTTTAACTGTCATTATTAATTATTCAGATTTCTGGATGAGTGTCAGCCAGTGCCTGCCTAGCCTACATGTAGCTGAGTTATAGGTGTGGATGTGTGGAAAGGAACCTGAAATGCAATCTGGTAAGTAAATAGACTACAAAGATGGTTTTACATTAACATTCTTATTTTATTGAAATGCTTCAACTCATAACAAATGTATAGGCCTAAATTTTGAATTTATAATTAGTGATAATTTGCCCTTTCTATTTCAGGTCTTAGAATCCTCTGAAGATGACACGTACTGGGAAATACTGCAGACAGGCAGGCATAAGGATCGAAGACCTGGAAAATGAAAAATTCACAATGTTACCAGAAAAACTCTTAACAAATGGTGTAGTCTTAGAACTTTACGCTTACTGTCGAATCCGCCACATAAGCGAGGAAGTGTTGCTGAAGTGGATTATTGGAATTTCCCCCGAGTCTGCAGATTACCGAAGTGAAGGTGGCAAGGTCTTGCGGCAGATACAATTTCTTTATGGCCAGCGAGACTTCCTCAGGAAACGGAAGGCGGACTCAGCACTTTTTAAGGACCTAGAAGGATGTCCTTTTGCCGTTCCATCTGACCCTGCGCCTTCAGAATCGTTATCTGAATGTCATCATCAGACATCAGTGCCGCGTCGCATCTTGACTTCATGCAACCTGTGGGATCAGTCATTCTTGAAACACTGCAATTACTATCAGATTCATTTTTGGAGGCAGTGTTAATTCCATCCGATTCTGATAACTTTGGCCTTGACGCATCCTTTTCCATTCCGGGTTTGTCAGACGACATGCCAGAAGTCAAAGTTCCATTTCCCAAGGAGTTTCCAGCATCCATGTCCACAACAGAAGAATACCCACCGGATGATTTTGCACTATCTGAGAACTTACCTCCCTTAGACATACAGGCAGAAGTTGATTCCCAGGCAGCAACAACTCGTGTACCACTCTCTGAAAAGGAGAAAGAACTTAATAGCCTTTCCTACCTTATGTGTGTAAAACAGAGAACTGTAGCACAACTTAATAGTGAAATTTCAGATTTGCAAACTAAATTGAAGGAGGATGGGGAAAGAAACGTACACTACCAGAAAAAATATGTAAACCTGAGGGAAGCAAGTAAGAACAAGACAATTGAAAACCTTCGAGCCAAAGTGAAAATACTGCAGAACCAGAAGAAAACCTGCATTAGCCAGACGGACAAGAAGCTAGGGAAAAAGAACTCGGACATCGCAGCCTTGTAGGAGCGAATAGCACAGCTGGAGAGGGATCTTGCAAGCACGAGCCAAAGGGCTAGACGGGAACAGAGGTTGAAAAGTTATTACAAAACCCTCCCATCCGTTGCAAAGGTAAGGAAAAGTAGGACTGGTCGAGAGTTTTCCAAGTTGACTGGTCGAGAGTTTTCCAAGTTGAATACCTATATCAAAGGTTCTCGAGAATCGGTTACTGCAAACTGAGAATAATGGTCAAACACTAATCGACACAAAAGGTGAGGATGGCACAATTTCTGATGATGTACGACTTGCCGTCATTGAGTTGTTGGGACTTGAGGTTGCAGTGCACAAGGTGTCGCCAGTCATCCAGGCAGTGGCTAAACATGTTTTCATGCACAAGTTCAAACCTTGTGATCTCCCAGGCAAATGACAGTGTTGCGAATCTCTGATGAAGGACAGTTCCTGACGAAGTGTTAGTATGCAGACAAACTGCATGCATGTTCCCACTTCGGTGAAAACAAGGATGGAACCAGCAGAAAAAAGGTAAATACCTGGAGACAACACTGACACTGGTGAAACTTGTCCACTTGGATTTCGTCGCACTGCAAAGGAGGATGAGGAGACTGTTGCAAAAAAACAGTCAGCTAGAGATAGAGGAACTGTGTTATGTTAGCATGAAGTCTACGGAAACGAGATCCTTGGGCTGAATGTTGATGAAAAGAGTGGTGTCCGAGACAAGTGGTTGGCTGATCTATCGTCACGCCAGAAGAAGTCCATAATTGGTGACTATCGTGACAATCGCTTCAATGGTCTCTTCTGGTTGGCAAGTCAGATCATGGTGCACATTGATGACATCCTTGGATTGGAAAAGAGGCTGAAATCCCCCAATCTGAAAGTTTGGTCGGTTTTCCTGGATCTCAAGGACTCTCGTTTAGTGACCATGGTCCAGGCAGTTGGCATTGTCTATGTCAAGATAACAGAACCATACTGGCGTCTTGTCACTTCGAAGGAAGTGTCGTACCTCGATCTCCATTATACATCAAACCCATGCTCCAGAAAGTCGAGATTTCCATGGAAAGTCCAGAGGACCTACTCGCTGATGATGAGGTTATCCCAAACTTCAAGCCCGACAAGGAGGATGTTCTCTACCAGGCAGTCATGTCCATCGGGCATAATGATAGGAAGGACCTGTTGCTCCGGACCATCAGCACAGTGATGGGGGCCTTCTCCACTTGTCTTGTATTCGGAAACAGCTTTATGACTTCATCAAAGGTACTTACAGTGAGAATGCTGCTCCTTCGGAAAAAGCACGGACATCGGGTAGTGGACTAAATAATCTTGTTAGTGAGAGGAACTTTGGTTCGCTTGATGCCAGCTGTAAACGTCAACGACATGCCACTATCCACTTCCACTCTTCCAGTCTGCTACTGAAGATGAATCGACAGATCCAAAGAAGCCTCAATATCTTCCTCCTCCTCCTGAAGCCGTAACATCTGTTAAGAAGGATGACTAGGTGGCTGTCGCATATGAAAATGGAGTTTGGTATCCA